ACCTACCACAGGATATACACATCTATCTGTCACTAATCTAAGTTAGACCTTTCTGATGACATTGCTGATAATTAATTGGCACTTAAGAATAACACTGTTAGACAGAGAGTATAAACTATGTTTTTAATTTTAGAAGTGCTGGGAAATTAATTGTTATTCAGAACAAGTCTAAAATAAAAATAAATAAATCACATTTTATTTAATTAATAGTAAGGTAAAAAAATATAAAACATACATAAACCTATGATTAAATATACGATTTGAAAAGCACCAGTTTATAGATAGAGAGAATGAAGCAGAGGAGTACATGTTGAAGGTACGACGGACTGTGACGGGGTGTAGTACGCTGTGCACATGATTATAATATGGAGCTGGTTTGTTGACAGGAAAAATAACTAAGACATTCATGTGGAAAGTAATCTGTAACTATAATTCCTAAAAAAAAAATGTGTAAGTCTTCCTTTAATGTTATAATGTACCATAGAAACACACTGATCATGCTATAGTAAATATACTCAACAAAAATCATAGGCATAAAAATATTTAATAAAAACAGAATCTCCGATTAGATGGTTTGAAAAAATATAACAAAAATATGACCAACGTTATAAACATGGTGTATTCATTCTGTAATAAATTTGTACATAACAACGGGAGACGGCAGCATTCGGGGAACATTTCACCATAAATTACCGTCAACGCTCTCACTATTCGGCATGTCAACATTGACTTGCTGTTTGCTGAAATGAAGGTATCATTAAAAATAATTTTGAAATTTGGTAGTTTTGTTTAAATATACATTTAGTTTCCCTATAATGCTGTAATTACGTAGTGACACGCCTCCAGAACAGTTTCACAAGAAGTTACTCCTTATTTGTCCACACTTTTAACATGATTTAGCCCTTGTAAATACTAGAAGGAGAGTTATCCCCCCTATATTTCCGACATATTAAATGTTCAGGACTCATTGATGAAGATTTGTTCCCCTTTGTTGTAAACATACTTAGTGTCCAGTTGAATGAGATTAGTGTCGACAGGTGCGTCCTTCCCGCCATCTTGTTGGGTGAGGCTGACTGGGCGAGAAGAGGGCGGGGACTCTGGAGGTTTAGGGTGTGTTAGGGTAAATGGTAGCTCCACAGCCAGGTCCCTGTAACAACCAATCAGTGATCAGTATTAAGTCACATGACAGTACAGTTAGTTTCCATAGCAACTATCAGTCACAATAATCACAGGACTCGTATATGTCCTCAACTATGTTATTTGTTGTATGACATGGCTGATCAGTAAATAAAGAGTCAAGGTTTAATCAATAGGCTGAAAGTAGGTTTACTTATGCCTGGATCAAGGCCTACATGACTTAATACCGGGCTATGTAACATTATACACTCAGTAAATACATACTTCCAATCTCTACATTTATCAGATGTCTCAGTGTACTCATTACTTATATGGATATTTATCAAGAGGGCTTTAGCTGGAGTGAAATATTCATTCACGCGACTAATGAGTGCAATCTGAGACGCCAGATGAACACATATGTGTTGTATTGTTTATATTGCATTATATACCTACAAATAACAAGAGGCCCATGGGCCTTAACGGTCACCTGAGTCCTACAGTATTTATTTTTGTTATAGTTAAGTATAATGTGAACTTAACTTTGTCAGGACCATGAGCTGATCATTCCTAGACCGATTTTCAGTGGGATCAGCCTATTAGAACTTGTTTTTAAGTTTAAAATAGGTATTTACAAAATAGCGGCCATGGCAGCCAAATTGTATTTCTGATTGACCCGAAAAATTACAACACTTTATCAGGACCATGATTCGATCATTCCTACAAAGTTTCAGTTCAATCGTCCAAGTAGAACTTTACTTTAAGTTTGAAATAGGTATTTTCAAAATGGCAGCTGTGGCGGCCATATTGGATTTCCGATCGATCCGAAAAATAACCACACTTTGTCAGGACCATGAGCTGATCATTCCTAGACCGATTTTCAGTGAGATCAGCCTATTAGAACTTGTTTTTAAGTTTAAAATAGGTATTTACAAAATAGCGGCCATGGCAGCCAAATTGTATTTCTGATTGCCCCGAAAAATTACAACACTTTGGCAGGGCCATGATTCGATCATTCCTACAGAGTTTCAGTTCAATCGTCCAAGTAGAACTTTACTTTAAGTTTAAAATAGGTATTTACAAAATAGCGGCCATGGCAGCCAAATTGTATTTCTGATTGCCCCGAAAAATTACAACACTTTGGCAGGGCCATGATTCGATCATTCCTACACAGTTTCAGTTCAATCGTCCAAGTAGAACTTTACTTTAAGTTTAAAATAGGTATTTTCAAAATGGCGGCTGTGGCGGCCATATTGGATTTCTGATCAACCCTAGCTAAAGCTCAGGTGACCTAAAAATGTACATATTTTTTATGATGTTTTTTTCTGCAAAACATTAATCTGACCATGACCTTGTAGTAGACATTAAGTATGTGTGTACTTACCCCGAACCAAATTTAAGTATTAACCTGACCTTGATCTTTTAGTAGACATTAAGTATGCGTGTATTTACCCTGAACCAAATCTGAGGATTAACCTGACCTTGACCTTGTAGTAGACATTAAGTATGTGGGTACTTACCCTGAACCAAATCTGAGGATTAATTTGACCTTGACCTTGTAGTAGACATTAAGTATGTGGGTACTTACCCTGAACCAAATCTGAGGATTAGTCTGACCTTGACCTTGTAGTAGACATTAAGATCTGTGTACTTACCCTGAACCAAATCTGAGGATTAATCTGACCTTGACCTTGTAGTAGACATTAAGTATGTGGGTACTTACCCTGAACTAAATCTGGGAATTAACCTGACCTTGACCTTGTAGTAAACATTAAGTATGTGGGTACTTACCCTGAACTAAATATGAGGATTAACCTGACCTTGACTTTGTAGTAGACATTAAGTATGTGGGTACTTACCCTGAACCAAATCTGAGGATTAACCTGACCTTGACCTTGTAGTAACCATTAAGTATGTGGGTACTTACCCTGAACTAAATATGAGGATTAACCTGATCTTGACCTTGTAGTAGACATTAAGTACTGTGTGTACTTACCCTGAACCAAATCCGAGGATTAACCTGACCTTGGCCTTGTAGTAGACATTAAGTATGTGTGTACTTACCCTGAACTAAATATGAGGATTAACCAGACCTTGACCTTGTAGTAAACATTAAGTATGTGTGTACTTACCCTGAACTAAATATGAGGATTAACCAGACCTTGACCCTGTAGTAGACATTCAGATCTGTGTACTTACCCCGAACCAAATCCGAGGATTAACCTGACCTTGACCTTGTAGTAAACATTAAGTATGTGTACTTACCCTGAACCAAATCTGAGGATTAACCTGACCTTGACCTTGTAGTAGACATTAAGTACTGTGTGTACTTACCCCGAACCAAATCCAAGTATTAACCTGACCTTGACCTTGTAGGAGACAACAATTCCCAAATTTTCTTTCTGACTAGAATCTCCCATTCTGAAATGAAGATAAAAGAGATTGATATTTCTGAACATTTCTACAGTATAAAGGAAACATACTGTTGAGCCCTGTCTTTAGCATGGGGTTTCAAAGAGGTATTTATGTCCCATTAAAACAGTTTACAATGGATCCAGCCTGTTAACTAACAGTGATAGAGGCTACCCAGTGACTGATGGCTAACAGTGATAGAGGTTATCCAGTGGCTGATGGCTGGCTATCATGCTTCTCGTACTGAATTTCATTATTTTTTGTATACAGACATAAGGTTATAAGATTCATTTTTACAAAGTAACATTGCCACATGTAAGAATTTCCACTTTGGCTGTCCACAGGATTATCTAAAGGATATGTTGTTTTCAAAATGTCATTAAAATCAAACTAGCCCTGTAGGAAAGGTGGTTTATACAATATAGGGTCTATAGGCAACCTGATCCTAGTACATATATATCTCCTTATTAACGAACACAGTGACTATTGAATAGAATGGATATATACATATATGGCTACTTTTGGGAGTATTTTGGTAGAGGACGGCTTACATGGTCGAGGATGCTAAGTTGGTATCCTCGTGTTTGAGTTTGCCATCTAACGCGAGGCCACGCTTGTCCCTGTTATTGGTTAACAGTGGCGTACAGTGATATACTTTACAGAAGCCGGTCTGACTAGGCTGGATAGGAAAACCCTCTCTGTAAAAACAAGCAAAGCAAATGTCTTCTCTCATGCTTGATGAATCTTAGAATTATAGACAGAAAAATTACTTCCCTCAAGCATGATAAACCTTACCTGTTTAGAAAAGCAATCTATTCTTACAAAATTCACATATCCAAGTATTATGATGTTCCAATAGGACAAGAAATGCATAAATAAAAATATGTTTTGAAGTTAACAGAAAAAATATATTTTTAGAAAATTTGAGCAAGCAATTAAGTCACCATTTAAAAAAGGACCATTTATAATATTCTATATGCCTTAAATTATCAAGGGTCAACATCAATGGGACTTAAAAATTTAATGTTGTGAATAAACATTACACATAACGATAGTGAGAGTTTTTAAATTGGATCTTGAAAGATATTTGAAACTTTTCATACTAGTTGAGGTGAAGTACCGTAGATATCATGACAAGAACTAATACACAACGTATCAAGTTTCAGTGACCTTGACATTAATGCATGTCCTTCACCTTAATTGGTATCTGTCTTTGTTACTGTCCGTGACATCAGTTAAAACCATAGGGGAGTGGCACAGATCCCACACCCCAGAGTCTGTACATTCTATGTGTTTTATGTATCAATAAATTATACCCATACAGTATATTTACAGACTGTGGGGTTGGGGATCTGTGCCACAGGACCCTATATTTACAGACTGTGGGGTTGGGGATCTGTGCCAGGACCCTATATTTACAGACTGTGGGGTTGGGGATCTGTGCCAGGACCCTATATTTACAGACTGTGGGGTTGGGGATCTGTGCCAGGACCCTATATTTACAGACTGTGGGGTTGGGGATCTGTGCCAGGACCCTATATTTACAGACTGTGGGGTTGGGGATCTGTGCCAGGACCCTATATTTACAGACTGTGGGGTTGGGGATCTGTGCCAGGACCCTATATTTACAGACTGTGGGGTTGGGGATCTGTGCCAGGACCCTATATTTACAGACTGTGGGGTTGGGGATCTGTGCCAGGACCCTATATTTACAGACTGTGGGGTTGGGGATCTGTGCCAGGACCCTATATTTACAGACTGTGGGGTTGGGGATCTGTGCCAGGACCCTATATTTACAGACTGTGGGGTTGGGGATCTGTGCCAGGACCCTATATTTACAGACTGTGGGGTTGGGGATCTGTGCCAGGACCCTATATTTACAGACTGTGGGGTTGGGGATCTGTGCCAGGACCCTATATTTACAGACTGTGGGGTTGGGGATCTGTGCCAGGACCCTATATTTACAGACTGTGGGGTTGGGGATCTGTACCAGGACCCTATATTTACAGACTGTGGGGTTGAGGATCTGTACCAGGACCCTATATTTACAGACTGTGGGGTTGGGGATCTGTACCAGGACCCTGTGGTTTTAACTGATGTCACAGACATTAATCTAAGTAATCTTGACCTCAGTTTGTGTGACAGACTTTGACTTTGACATTATTTTGACTAGTACCAAAAGCTTACAGTTCAAACTCAGCCGAGGAATCACAATGTTGTCTATACAATACTTATATAGAAATTTACCATTTAGAATATGCATGTACTATTTGGATATCAAAAATGCCTTTACATTGCTAGATGTGTTTGGAAGCTTAGTTAAAAATCTTTTAAACACAAAATTTTACATTATGGAACATTAGTTTTTCCATATTGCTTGGACTTGATGATAGAATCAGTTAACTGACACATGACTATGTGGTAGAGATGATTGCTATCTATGTCCCCCTAACTAATGGATTAACTAGGCCAATGGGGGGTCTCCATGCACTCCATCTAATGTGCCTCACTATATATCCCTAATAATTACAAAGCTTAAACCACAGCAATAGATTTAAAAATCTATTTTTTAAATAAGATGCCGTGGAGGCAGGGTAGTCCAGTGGTAGGGCGCCGGGCTCGTGACCGAAGGGTTGCGGGTTCGAGTCACGTCATAGCACTGTGTTGCATTTTTGAGCAAGATACTTTACTCCGCTTGTTCCAGTCTACTCAGCTGTAAATGAGTACGTAGTTGGGTAGTGCTAGAATTGTTGAATGCTAGCTGTGAACGCCAAAATGGCAGCACCGGCTGTATGCTCCCCAGGAAGTTAAGAAAGATATTGGCTGGTTGCAAAGGCCCTTTAACCACCGATAATAATTTGTGAACCGCTTTGAGACGACCTACGAACTTGGTTGTGATAAAGCTGTACATTAATTATTATTATTGTTAATTAAAATATGTGTAATAAGTAACATGTATGTGATCGGACAACTGAAAATTTAAACTTCAAAAACGAAAACCTAAAGAATTTGATTGATTCCAATTTGATGACTTGATTAAATCCATTCCAACACATACTATGGTGCAGAAATTATCAGACAACCAAAATAACTGTCGGGGGAAAATATCAAAATTTAACTACAAATCAGAACCAACAAAACATACATCTGTGACCTAGATAGAAATGAAAATGAATTCTGTTATAGCAAAAAAATATTTTGAAACCGATAAAATGTTTGAAAAATTCAAAAATATTTATCAATCATATTCAACTTCTCACTTTACGAGAGAAAATCTGTAAAACTTATAAATTTACTTTCATGGACAGTTCCGGGATAAACAAATAGCAAACAGGTGCACTCAACAAAATAAATAAAAACCTCCTTGATTTTCACACAAATAATCTTTTGCATGCAATATGCTTTTGTATTGTCTTGCAAATAGGAAATTGCTAAAGACTAAAGGTGTTAAGTTTTTATCTATCTATATATATCTATATATACAAGTGTATATGTACATGTATTATCAAACTATACACTAACAAACGTAACTAATACTTATTCCCACAATGAAAGAAAAACTCAAACAATTCCAAAGCGGAAAAATTAAAAAGAAGCAAAGTTTGAGCACACTTCCCTTCCCCCTCCCAAAAAAAATCAACAACAGAAATGATGTTTGTTTGACGATTCAATGGGAATAATCTTAGCCAGCAAAACAAGTACATAACAAGTTATTTATATATTATGCATACTTCCCATTTTTTTCCTTAAAATACATCGGTGACCTTAAAATTTACCAAATAATATTTGTGACAATTTTTAATTTGTGATATTGTTCATTGTTCATACTAGGTTTCTAGAGCAGAAATTGGTTTCAAGGGCCATGACTCCAGAACAAATAGTTGAACCATAAATTCCCTGCCTTATGAGGTAGTTTTAATGTGCCAAGTTTCAAAATATTCCAACAAACAGTTCAGGACGAGTTGCTGTTACACGGTTACCGGATCAAAACATTTCAAGGGAAATAACTCCAGCAAAAATAGTCAAAATGCAAATTCCTTTTTACATACATATCTGCATCACTTTCACTGTGACAAGTGACAAAAAGTCCAACACACGGTTTAGAAGGAGTTGCACTTACAATCATGGACAGATAGACAGTGATTATTATATACCTCCCCCCCAACTTTGTTTGCAGGGGGTATAAATATTAACAGTCTAATATTTTAAGAAAGTCTTACGATATAATGTACGAGGATTAAAATATGATGAGCTAATCCAAAGCTTAACTATGAACCATCAAGATATTCAAGTTTCATAATGATGACAAAAAAAACACATATACAAATGCATACATGTCAGAGTGAATATCTTTCCACAACCTTTTCAGAGACAGGGATAGCACAAATAAAACCTCCATGTAACAATTAATGCTGTACAGATGTATCAGGTTAATAGAACTTGTATACAGTAGCAGATGGAGTAAGGATGGGTATATATAAATCATTTATATATACTTTATTCTAAACTTATATTAATCTCTCTTGTTGGCAAGGATGTTAGCGCACGGAGGGCCTTTAGGTGGGAGGAAACTGAATTACCCAGAGAAAACCTATGTGGTATAGGCAGGTGCCCTTTTTATGTCCGATCGGGTAAAACTGGTTCTAAAGTATCCACAAATTGAACATGTTAATTGATGACAACATGACCTATTTAGTCGTTGATTGATGTTAATTGATGACAACATGACCTATTTAGTCGTTGATTGATGTTAATTGATGACAACATGACCTATTTAGTCGTTGATTGATGTTAATTGATGACAACATGACCTATTTAGTCGTTGATTGATGTTAATTGATGACAACATGACCTATTTAGTCGTTGATTGATGTTAATTGATGACAACATGACCTATTTAGTCGTTGATTGATGTTAATTGATGACAACATGACCTATTTAGTCGTTGATTGATGTTAATTGATGACAACATGACCTATTTAGTCGTTGATTGATGTTAATTGATGACAACATGACCTATTTAGTCGTTGATTGATGTTAATTGATGACAACATGACCTATTTGGTCGTTGATTGATGTTAATTGATGACAACATGACCTATTTAGTCGTTGATTGCTGTTAATTGATGTGATTGATAGCCATAACAGTAATTAAGTCTAGACCTACATTAGTGTGTGGCGATACTGTTGCCATGGTTATAACAATATCTCATCTACATGTTGTCGACTACGAGCAGGATATTTATGATAATCTATTTATTTTTTTAAAGTCTGTAGCATGTTTGTGACACAAACACTTAAATATTAGGCACTGGCGTATTTTCTTCTGCAAATTTAAAAAAAAATACAAAATAAAACTTCAAAGAATTTCAAATACCTTTCTTTCACCTTTTTAGACTTTGACCTATAATTAAGATAAGGGTCAAAGGTTATCTTGAATGATGAACTCTCTGACCTTTAGCCTGTTACTTACCTCATTAAAGCTTCACTTAAAATTGTCAAAAATATCACACTTTAACTCGAAACAAAATTTTCAAATAAAGAAGGATCATTTACAAGTTGTATGCCATATTTAAACAATTGAAACCTTGTGCGCCTCAATATTTTGAATTTAAGATTTCATACTTCAGTGTAAAAATATAACTATTTCCCCATCAATAATACTCGATAAAATTCACAGAGACATACATTTTACCTCAATCATAACATAAATTAGAGGCTTAATATATAAAGGTAAAGACTTACTCTCGTTCCATGTCAGCTACTGTGCATTTATACTGCGCAGTGGAGAATAAACAAATATCGGCAAACTGTCGTACTGTGCGGGGAACAGAAACAATCCTTGTTATATACATCACATGTAAGGCCATGCTCAAAATAGACATGTTTCCTGTAACAGACTTGTTAAATGGTAAAACAGTACCCACACCTGGGACACTGCACTTGTTTTTAATTTATCGCTATTTTCATATTGTGTATCTGATGAATACAGTTTTTTAAGTCAAAGAATTTGCACCAAATTTATACAAAACTATTACTATTTGTAATTAATTGATTAACAGAACTGTTGTTTTTCAAAGTCTGTAAAAATTGCTCCAAAAGATAAATTGTCCTTTTCTAGGATGTTTGGAAACATGGCTATTTTTTACTTGGTATATAATTGGTTGTAATAAGCAAAACATTCAAAATCAAAGGTAAAAATAAACCGAAATCATCGCCAAACACTTGATTGTCTCTCATTCAGTATCTGCTCCTCCCTTGTAAAGGAATCGGATATAAACTTTTGTCATTGACTGAGCCTACAAAATATTCAGAGGAATGTAACAAGATTGTTTTTACATGTGCCAAAGTGAAGCAGAAATGGAATATTATCAACTACTTCAAATCAGTCCAGACTTCCAAATGAATCATGTCTATCCAATTATTACTGCTGGCTTTATTTGACATTCTGCCTTAGCAGGGTATTACCATCCAGTGTGAATGAGAGACGCCAGTGTTTGACGACAGCAATGGTTATAGACGCCGTGAGAGTCGGGTTATAATCAGGTGGCTTTCTCTACACACATTCAGGTTTCAATTTTCCGAACTGTGACGATCTTGCAGCTCAAAGAACATTTCAACTCATTCACCCCTGAAGACACATTTGAACTATTCCAATTCAAAGGTTGGAATAGTTCATTATGAAATTTCAGGGGTGAATGAGTCACACCCAGATCAGTGTAGTTCCATCATGACAGAACGAAACATTAGTGGTGTCGATATTATTTTCTATTAAAATTCCAGATACATTTAACGTAATCAACTGGATTATTACTGTCACAATTCTGGAAATTGATTCCTTGGTGTTTTAAACCAGAAAAGATTATAATTGGTCAACTAAACCTCTTATAACACATATCACATATAAATTATGAATAAGAATATCAAAGGAGTGCAATTTGACTTGGGTGTTGTAAATAAACAATTATCAGTGAGAGCAGATTTACATAACAAATCTTTTCTGTAAAATCTGGGACTAGACTTCACCATTCACCAATGAACTGATCACTTCAGTCGGGCCACGAGAAAGCTTTATGTAAACCAGAGATATTTTAACACTGGTCTCACCGAGTCTGTGACATTAAGGGGCCTCATGCATTTCCATATATAGTGTGACTTGATAAATGTATATACAGTAAGTACATCAATATGTTGTTCCACTGATATATGAAGGCAGTAGGGACCAGTGTAGGGCAAGAGTAGCATCAGGAGGCAACATGTGAGGGGAAGGGCAACATTTGATGGGGAGAGCAACATTTGATGGGAGGGCAACATTTGATGGGAGGGCAACATTTGATGGGGAGAGCAACATGTGAGGGGAAGGGCAACATGTGAGGGGAAGGGCAACATTTGATGGGGAGAGCAACATTTGATGGGGAGAGCAACATTTGATGGGGAGGGCAACATTTGATGGGGAGAGCAAAATTTGATGGGGAGGGCAACATTTGATGGGAAGGGCAACATTTGATGGGGAGGGCAACATTTGATGGGGAGAGCAACATTTGATGGGAGGGCAACATTTGATGGGAGGGCAACATCTACAGAGAGGGGGTCGGGAAGTAGAGCCTTTGGAGTCTCTGGCCGATAGATATCCTGACAGTTTTTACAGAGTAGCATGATAGCTCTCTTCTTGATTTGTCACACTAAGTATGGTCACTGTTATTCCTTTACTTCTGAAGTCGTCTGCACATGCTGTGTAACGTGAAATCTACCGCTTCTTAGGCATATGTCTGAGTAAATGTCATCAGTTTGGTAGTTAGGTTTATGTCTACGTAAATGTCATCAGTTTGGTAGTTAGGTTTATGTCTATGTAAATGTCGTCAGTCTGGTAGTTAGGTTTATGTCTGTGTAAATATCGTCGGTCTGGTAGTTAGGTTTATGTCCATGTAAATGTCTACAGTCTGGTAGTTAGGTTTATGTCTGTGTAAATATCGTCGGTCTGGTAGTTAGGTTTATGTCCATGTAAATGTCTTCAGTCTGGTAGTTAGGTTTATGTCTGTGTAAATATCGTCGGTCTGGTAGTTAGGTTTATGTCCATGTAAATGTCGTCGGTCTGGTAGAGGTAGTTAGGTTTATGTCTACTTAAATGTCATCAGTTTGGTAGTTTGGGTCACAGGATGTGTAAAACCAGACACATATCTTACAGGGAGAGAATACTGAAACTTCTATAAATCTTTATTATCTGTTCCAGAAAGTCCTGCAGTGTAAGATGAATTCTACCTCTACATTAGGTTTGTCTGTGTAAATGTCGTCGGTCTGGTAGTAAGGCTTATGTCTGTGTAAATGTCGTCAGTCTGGTAGGTAGGTTTATGTCTATGTAAATGTCGTTGGTCTGGTAGAGAGGTTTATGTCTATGTAAATGTCGTCGGTCTGATAGTTAGGCTTATGTCTGTCAACATTTTCTGATCCGACACCAAGTCTACGTAAAAGTCATCACTTTGGTAGTTAGGGTTATGTCTACGTAAATGTCATCACTTTGGTAGTTGGGTTTATGTCTACGTAAATGTAATCAGTTTGGTAGTTAGGGTCACCGGATGTGTAACACCAGACACATATCTTACAGGGAGAGAATACTGAAACTTCTATAAATCTTTATTATCTGTTCTAGAAAGTCCTGCAGTGTAAGATGAATTCTACCTCTACATTAGGTTTGTCTGTGTAAATGTCGTCGGTCTGGTAGTTAGGTTTATGGCTGTGTAAATGTCGTCGGTCTGGTAGTTAGGTTTATGGCTGTGTAAATGTCGTCGGTCTGGTAGTTAGGTTTATGGCTGTGTAAATGTCGTCGGTCTGGTAGTTAGGTTTATGGCTGTGTAAATGTCGTCGGTCTGGTAGTTAGGTTTATGTCTGTGTAAATGTCGTCAGTCTGGTAGTTAGGTTTATGTCCATGTAAATGTCTACAGTCTGGTAGTTAGGTTTATGTCTGTGTAAATATCGTCGGTCTGGTAGTTAGGTTTATGTCCATGTAAATGTCGTCGGTCTGGTAGTAAGGCTTATGTCTGTGTAAATGTCGTCAGTCTGGTAGGTAGGTTTATGTCTATGTAAATGTCGTCAGTCTGGTAGTTAGGTTTATGTCCATGTAAATGTCGTCGGTCTGGTAGTTAGGTTTATGGCTGTGTAAATGTCGTCGGTCTGGTAGTTAGGTTTATGTCCATGTAAATGTCTTCAGTCTGGTAGTTAGGTTTATGTCTGTGTAAATATCGTCGGTCTGGTAGTTAGGTTTATGTCCATGTAAATGTCTACAGTCTGGTAGTTAGGTTTATGTCTGTGTAAATGTCGTCAGTCTGGTAGGTAGGTTTATGTCTATGTAAATATCATCAGTTTGGTAGTTAGGGTTACAGGATGTGTAACACCAGACACAGATCTTACAGGAAGTTAGGTTTATGTCTACGTAAATCTCATCAGTTTGGTAGTTAGGGCCACAGGATGTGTAACACCAGACACGGATCTTACAGGTAGTTAGGTTTATGTCAACGTAAATGTCATCAGTTTGGTAGTTAGGGTCCCAGGATGTGTAACACCAGACACAGATCTTACAGGTAGTTAGTTTTATGTCTATGTAAATGTCATCAGTTTGGTATTTAGGGTCACAGGATGTGTAACACTAGACACATATCTTACAGGAAGAGACTACTGAAACTTCTATAAATCTTTATTATCTGTTCTAGAAAGTCCTGCAGTGTAAGATGAATTCTACCTCTACATTAGGTTTGTCTGTGTAAATGTCGTCGGTCTGGTAGTAAGGCTTATGTCTGTGTAAATGTTGTCGGTCTGGTAGTTAGGCTTATGAGGTAGTTAGGTTTATGTCTACTTAAATGTCATCAGTTTGGTAGTTATGGTCACAGGATGTGTAACACCAGACACATATCTTACAGGAAGAGAATACTGAAACTTCTATAAATCTTTATTATCTGTTCCAGAAAGTCCTGCAGTGTAAGATGAATTCTACCTCTACATTAGGTTTGTCTGTGTAAATGTCGTCGGTCTGGTAGTTAGGTTTATGTCCATGTAAATGTCGTCGGTCTGGTAGTAAGGCTTATGTCTGTGTAAATGTTGTCGGTCTGGTAGTTAGGCTTATGTCCATGTAAATGTCGTCGGTCTGGTAGTTAGGTTTATGTCTGTGTAAATGTCGTCGGTCTGGTAGTTAGGTTTATGTCTATGTAAATGTCGTTGGTCTGGTAGTGAGGTTTATGTCTATGTAAATGTCGTCGGTCTGGTAGTTGGGTTTATGTCTGTGTAAATGTCGTCAGTCTGGTAGTTAGGTTTATGTCCATGTAAATGTCGTCGGTCTGGTAGTTAGGTTTATGTCTATGTAAATGTCGTTGGTCTGGTAGTGAGGTTTATGTCTATGTAAATGTCGTCGGTCTGGTAGTTTGGTTTATGTCTGTGTAAATGTCGTCAGTCTGGTAGTTAGGTTTATGTCTGTATAAATGTCTTCAGTCTGGTAGTTAGGTTTATGTCCATGTAAATGTCGTCGGTCTGGTAGTTAGGTTTATGTCTGTATAAATGTCTTCAGTCTGGGAGGTAGGTTTATGTCAATGTAAATGTCGTCGGTCTGGTATTTCGGTTTATGTCTATGTAAATGTCGGCGGTCTGGTAGTTAGGTTTATGTCTATGTAAATGTCGTCGGTCTGATAGTTAGGCTTATGTCTGTCAACATTTTCTGATCCGACACCAAGTCATCCAACTGTTGGAACATCTGAAGTGAGGAGTCAGCAGCAGCAGTACTGTAGGGAGGCTGGCACTAGGAGTAGGGTCATTGTGAGAGGGGTAGGAGGCGATACAGTGTTGTACACTGGGTCAGCTGTATACTGGGACGGGGACTCAAACTCACTGCGGCTCTAAAATTGACACATCTTCCTCATTGTACGTATGTTCATACAGTCTGAACTCTGCAAACTGGCAGACTGTTAGTAACAAAACAATCATCTTTTCTTGTTAGTTCTGTGGTTGTAGATGAGCCGAGGCATTCTAATTTTCTTTAGTTTCACTTTCCATGTATTTATCACTGATGGCCACTCTCATTCATAAATAATGAGCTCTTTAGTGAAAGGAAGAATAGCTCTTCCTAAAACAAAGACTGCCATTACAACAGTATCAACTTGACGGGGGTAGGGATACACATATTTGTAAAGAACCTCCAGGTGGTCAAACTTTCACATCAGTCCTGCCAAACTCACAGAGTTAATAACCCTACTTTGATAGCTAATCAGATGTTAAGTAAAACTCACAGAGTTAATAACCCTACTTTGATAGCTTATCAGATGTTAAGTAAAACTTAGGAACTATTCACAAATCACACAAAGATTAAAAGATGACCCAAATCTTGTGTTACCACTAAGACTGGTTCAAATTCCTCTGTATTTCAAACTTTTGCAACCCTGTTAACTAATTCTAAATCACAGTCATTAATTAACCACCAACAGCCAATCAGAACTAAAACATCAACAGCCAGCCAATCAGATCTTTAAACCACCAACAGCCAATCAAAACTAAAACACCAATAGCCAATCAGAACTAAACCACCAACAGCCAATCAGATCTTTAAACCACCAAAAGCCAATCAGAACTAAAACACCAACAGCCAATCAGAACTAAAACACCAACAGCCAATCAGAACTAAACCACCAACAGCCAATCAGAACTAAAACACCAACAGCCAATCAGAACTAAAACACCAACAGCCAATCAGAACTAAAACACCAACAGCCAATCAGAACTAAAACACCAACAGCCAATCAGAACTAAAACACCAACAGCCAATCAGAACTAAAACACCAACAGCCAATCAGAACTAAAACACCAACAGCCAATCAGAACTAAAACACCAACAGCCAATCAGAACTAAAACACCAACAGCCAATCAGAACTAAAACACCAACAGCCAATCAGAACTAAAACACCAACAGCCAATCAGAACTAAAACACCAACAGCCAATCAGAACTAAAACACCAACAGCCAATCAGAACTAAAACACCAACAGCCAATCAGAACTAAAACACCAACAGCCAATCAGAACTAAAACACCAACAGCCAATCAGAACTAAAACACCAACAGCCAATCAGAACTAAAACACCAACAGCCAATCAGAACTAAAACACCAACAGCCAATCAGAACTAAAACACCAACAGCCAATCAGAACTAAAACACCAACAGCCAATCAGAACTAAAACACCAACAGCCAATCAGAACTAAAACACCAACAGCCAATCAGAACTAAAACACCAACAGCCAATCAGAACTAAAACACCAACAGCCAATCAGAACTAAAACACCAACAGCCAATCAGAACTAAAACACCAACAGCCAATCAGAACTAAAACACCAACAGCCAATCAGAACTAAAACACCAACAGCCAATCAGAACTAAAACACCAACAGCCAATCAGAACTAAAACACCAACAGCCAATCAGAACTAAAACACCAACAGCCAATCAGAACTAAAACACCAACAGCCAATCAGAACTAAAACACCAACAGCCAATCAGAACTAAAACACCAACAGCCAATCAGAACTAAAACACCAACAGCCAATCAGAACTAAAACACCAACAGCCAATCAGAACTAAAACACCAACAGCCAATCAGAACTAAAACACCAACAGCCAATCAGAACTAAAACACCAACAGCCAATCAGAACTAAAACACCAACAGCCAATCAGAACTAAAACACCAACAGCCAATCAGAACTAAAACACCAACAGCCAATCAGAACTAAAACACCAACAGCCAATCAGAACTAAAACACCAACAGCCAATCAGAACTAAAACACCAACAGCCAATCAGAACTAAAACACCAACAGCCAATCAGAACTAAAACACCAACAGCCAATCAGAACTAAAACACCAACAGCCAATCAGAACTAAAACACCAACAGCCAATCAGAACTAAAACACCAACAGCCAATCAGAACTAAAACACCAACAGCCAATCAGAACTAAAACACCAACAGCCAATCAGAACTAAAACACCAACAGCCAATCAGAACTAAACCACCAACAGCCAATCAGAACTAAAACACCAACAGCCAATCAGAACTAAACCACCAACAGCCAATCAGAACTAAAACACCGACAGCCAATCAGAACTAAACTACCAACAGCAAATCAGAACTAAAACACCAACAGCCAATCAGAACTAAACTACCAACAGCCAATCAGAACTAAACCACCAGCAGCAAATCAGAACTAAGCTACCAACAGCCAATCAGAACTAAAACACCAACAGGCAATCAGAACTAAACTACCAACAGCAAATCAGAACTAAAACACCAACAGCAAATCAGAACTAAAACACCAACAGCCAATCAGAACTAAACTACCAACAGCAAATCAGAACTAAAACCCCAACAGCAAATCAGAACTAAAACACCAACAAATCACCAACAGCCAATCAGAACTAAAACACCAACAGTCAATCGGAACTAAAATACCAACAGCCAATCAGAACTAAACAACCAACAGCCAATCAGAACTAAAACACCAACAGCCAATCAGAACTAAACTACTAACAGCCAATCAGAACTAAAACACCAACAGCCAATCAGAACTACGTGCCTGTAACCTCATTAACATTTGAACCAACAATCGCTGTGATATACACAAAATCGCTGACCTATAGCTGATCCAAATAATCAAAAATAAGTTATTTTCTGGACACCATTTAGAACAGATGAATGGACTCTCACTCTACAGTAATATCTCCTTTTCTAAGAAAATCAGAAAAATATGATGCCACAGGGAACTACCAAAATGTACTCATTATTCAAACACTGAACTTCACCACTGATGTAACGTAATTAGGTTTGTCTGTCTACCAGTTATAGAGGTTTACCTGTAACGAACAATTTATCATACCTGTAAGTGTTACCTGTAAGTGTTACCTGGAAATCTTACCTGAAATCTTGATTTTCTTCACAGTTTTGTTTGTATTGTTGTCCACCAGAACATTAACAGCGATATTTTCACCGTGGTAGTATTTCTACAAGACAAGCATCACACAATTTAGTGTCACCTGGTTAGTATTTCTACAAGACAAGTATCACACAATTTGGTGTCACCTGGTTTTCAGTAGAGGTAATATTTCTACAAGACAAGTATCACCCAATTTAGTGTCACCTGGTTAGTATTTCTACAGGACAAGTATCACATAATTTAGTGTCCCCTGGTTAGTATTTCTACAAGACAAGCATCACACAACTTAGTGTCACCTGGTTAGTATTTCTACGAGACAAGTATCACATAATTTAGTGTCCCCTGGTTAGTATTTCTACAAGACAAGAATCACATAATTTAGTGTCACCTGGTTTTCAGTAGAGGTAGTATTTCTACAAGATAAGTATCACACAATTTAGTGTCACCTGGTTTTCAATAGAGGTAGTATTTCTACAAGACAAGTATCACACAATTTAGTGTCACCTGGTTTTTAGTAGAGGTATTATTTCTACAAGACAAGCATCACACAACTTAGTGTCACCTGGGTTTCAGTAGAGGTAGTATTTCTACAAGACAAGTATCACACAATTTAGTGTCACCTGGGTTTCAGTAGAGGTAGTATTTCTACAAGACAAGTATCACACAATTTAGTGTCACCTGGGTTTCAGTAGAGGTAATATTTCTACAAGACAAGTATCACACAATTCAGTGTTACCTGTAATTCTATGAAGCCAATCAAAATGTTGACCGTAACTGTTTTCTCACAGAAATGATGATCAATAAAAGTTGCCACCTATTTTCTGGAACAAATGTTTGATTAATAATGTTTCAACTCATACAAAACACTACATAAAACACTGAGTGCCAAAAATAGGCCTGTGCTTTTCATATTTATATCACGATTTAAAAACAGTTTTCCATCTAACATAATATGTGATGTACCCTACAATAAAAACGGAATGAAACCTTTATCCCTCTGACTTTGTTACCAGGACACAATAAAATCGTGATTTACTGTTCAACATTTTATGAGCATTTCACAGGAAACACATACTCTATACTTTTGGCCTAAACCTACAATCTCCCATCATCAACCCAGTCCCTATGGATACCAAATTCAAATAGTATTCACTAGACAAGTGTAAGCAGAGCACTGCTAACTGTGGTCAGCACATTAATAAGAATAGTAGATTCTTTGAGTTTAATATTTCCACAACAGCTCAGGTTATATAAGACATTATTATCCTATATCATTGTTCCTATACAACTAAAGCTAGGCCAAGGGCATAGAGTTAATACATCAATCCTAAACCAAGGGCATAGGGTTAATACATCAATCCTAAACCAAGGGCATAGAGTTAATACATCAATCCTAAACCAAGGGCATAGGGTTAATACATCAATCCTAAACCAGGGCATAGAGTTAATACATCAATCCTCAACCTAGGGCATAGGGTTAATACATCAATCCTAAACCAAGGGCATAGAGTTAATACATCAATCCTAAACCAAGGGCATAGGGTTAATACATTAATCCTAAACCAAGGGCATATAGTTAATACATCAATCCTAAACCAAGGGCATATAGTTAATACATCAATCCTAAACGAAGGGCATAGATTTAATACATCAATCCTAAACCAAGGGGCATAGAGTTAATGCATCAATCCTAAACCAGGGGCATAGAGTTAATACATCAATCCTAAACCAAGGGCATAGGGTTAATATATCAATCCTAAACCAAGGGCATAGAGTTAATATGTCAATCCTAAACCAAGGGCATAGAGTTAATTCATCAATCCTAAACCAGGGCATAGAGTTAATTCATCAATCCTAAACCAAGGGCATAGAGTTAATACATCAATCCTAAACCAAGGGCATTGAGTTAATACATCAATCCTAAACCAAGGGCATAGGGTTAATACATCAATCCTAAACCAAGGGCATAGAGTTAATACATCAATCCTCAACCTAGGGCATAGGGTTAATACATTAATCAAGATCAGCATCAATGAGCATCAACCATTACAAAGTGAAAACTATCAGATATTACACTACATTACTTCATTTAAAAAATAATAGTTCTCTATATAGAGGCAGGTAAGAATACCAGTTCTCTGTATAGAGGCAGATAAGAATACTAGTTCTCTGTATAGAGGCAGGTAAAAATTATACTGATCTTTTAAAACAGAAACCTGACAACCATTCCTGCCAGCACAAATACAGGGTAAGAGTTATTTCCCCTGGTGCTGAATACATTACCTGCTTCCATATATTTCATCCCATTATTACAGAATACTTCTGCAGATTTATTTGATAACATTTTTTAATATTTCTTCACATCACTGGATTATTCAATTAGAACTTTTAATGTAACAATAACTAATATCTATTACTACGCCATATTAAGCTTTGTTATTGAATAAAAAGAAACTGTAGCTATCTGAAAGACGCATTTGAACTTCAACCTTGGTCGTGCCAAACTGATCATAGCCAAACGTCTTTGTCTAGCAATGTCTGTGACATTGCCTGGGCTATTTAAAAAAAACTGCTTCCTTATCTGGAGAAGCTTGTAGCTAGGTAATACTGAACTTACTTTGTCTAAAAATTATTACCTCCTAGATTTACCAACAGGCTACTTCTTTGTCTAGAGAAACTTCTCGTTTGATCCTATCGATTGGTACTCATTATAAACTTACTTCTTTGTCTAAGGAAGCCTCTAGCTTGATATTGCCCGGACTCATCATAAACTCTTTGGTGGCCTCGGCACTGGGCTGAGGGGCTGGTTCCACAGGGGCGTATGTCAGCTTCCGTATAGCCAGACGAACAGAATTCCTAAAACAAAGTGTCATAGGATAGGGAAAATATGTCATATGTCAGCTTCCGTATAGCCAGATGAACAGAATTCCTAAAACAAAGTGTCATAAGATTGGGAAAATATGTCATATGTCAGCTTCCGTATAGCCAGACGAACAGAATTCCTAAAACAAAGTGTCATAAGATTGGGAAAATACAGCGAGATGTAACAAAATCAGAAACAAAAACAATCCAAAAATATTAGAAAAATCTAAAAATTGTGATATATCTAAAACTACTCACAAACATGCATTTAATTGATATAAGTTGTGTATAGTGTAAGCTTTCTAATAGAACTCCAAGAGAAACTAGAGCTGTAAGGCTTAAAACCCCTTGATCCCACATAAGATGATAAAAAACTCCTAGTTGAACTAAAAATAATTTAAAATGGAAAATGTGCAACTACCAAAGATACCGATCATGTGAACCAAGTTTCAAAATTATTGGCTAAGAATTTTGGAAAGATGTATCAGAAAAGGGAAATAACTCTCAAGAAATTCATTGATATAAAAGTTACATCCCAAGTGAACGACTACCTAAGGTACCTATCAGGTGTACTTAGTTCACAGACATTTGTTAACAAGGTGAGCAGCCATACTTCTGAAAATCTTCCAAAGATAGACAGACTGCCACCAAGTTCAAGAATATTCCCCTTCATAACTACGTTTGAATAATAATATCTACACAACAAAGCGTAGCTGAATCGAGTCTTTTCGGTACATATATAACAACCTATTGTACATATGCTTACAGTGTATCCAAATAGACATTGATTTGTGGACAACTCGTACAATTTTACTCGTTTGTGCGTACGCTTCACTGGTCATTTGTCTGATTAAGGTGACAGTGTACATACCGTACTAGTCATCGAAACGTCACATAGAAACACTTACTGGTTGTGTAGCAAGAGGTATTACATAATCCATACGTACCAACCTAAAGTATAGAAATATCTACACAACTATGGCATTGTTTAGAGTTCTGAGGTATGTCAATGTCTCCTACTAGATAATTTCTAAATGCACTAGACCTCACCGTAACCTTACCTCTTGTGTGGCTTCTCCTCAGCATTCTCTGCTACATACGTCTTTAGCTCGTAATCTACACCACAGGGCTTTAAAACAAAGTACACCATCAAATATACAATTACTCTGTTACAACAAAAAAAAATTTCATTTAGAAAATGTCTGTAAGACATCAGGAAGTGACCTTACTCTGATGGACTTGTGTTATTGTTTTCAAATTTCTACGAATATTGAAGGTACTTTTATCCTTGACCATCCCACAAAATTAATCAAAATACATGAAGAAATAAAGTTGCCTCTGTGAGTTATTTTACTGTAATGGTTAACAAACTTTTATAAATGTAGTAACAATGATCTTGGCTTTGACCATGGACCCCTTAACTACAGATTTATTCAAAGTATTCTCTCACTTGACCTACATTTGTATGTACAAAGTTTGATCAAAGTCTTACAAAAGAAATGAAGTTGCTGGTACTGAACAAAGAATTGGGACAGAACTGGACAGGACGGGGTAGGACGGACCAGAACCTAATTAAGCATGCGAAACATTCTTCATATTACTGTCCTGGTTTTTACACTAAAAAAATCTTTATTTTTTTCTCTAGAGTGTTTGCTGTGTTTTCATAGGGGAGACAACTCAGGTTATTTATAGGTTCCAAAATAATTTCAAACATTATTTTTCTTGAATATTGAATCTCTGACAACTCTTCACTTTGTGGAGTACTTCACCATCTCAGTATGTAAAACTGACAAAGCTTTGGCCAGTGCAGGCCTTCGCATGGCTTACCTTCCCAGTATCAGTCAGACTGACAAAGCTTAGGCCAGGAAGGCCTTTGTGTGGCTTACCTTCCCAGTATCAGTCAGACAGACAAAGCTTAGGCCAGGTAGGCCTTTGTGTGGCTTACCTTCCCAGTCTCAGTTAGACTGACAAAGCTTAGGCCAGGAAGGCCTTCGCGTGGCTTACCTTCCCAGTATCAGTCAGACTGACAAAGTTTAGGCCAGGAAGGCCTTTGTGTGGCTTGGACAAAGCTAAGGGCAGGAAGGCCTTTGTGTGGCTTACCTTCCCAGTATCAGTCAGACTGACAAAGTTTAGGCCAGGAAGGCCTTTGTGTGGCTTGGACAAAGCTAAGGCCAGGAAGGCCTTTGTGTGGCTTACCTTCCCAGTCTCAGTCAAACGGACAAAGCTTAGGCCAGGAAGGCCTTCGTGTGGCTTACCTTCCCAGTATCAGTCAGACTGAGAAAGCTTAGGCCAGGTAGGCCTTCGCGTGGCTTACCTTCCCAGTCTCAGTCAGACTGACAAAGCTAAGGCCAGGAAGGCCTTTGTGTGGCTTACCTTCCCAGTATCAGTCAGACAGACAAAGCTTAGGCCAGGAAGGCCTTCGTGTGGCTTAACTTTCCAGTCTCAGTCAGACTGAGAAAGCTTAGGCCAGGTAGGCCTTCGCGTGGCTTACCTTCCCAGTATCAGTCAGACTGGGAAAGCTTAGGCCAGGAAGGCCTTCGTGTGGAATACCTTCCCAGTCTCAGTCAGACTGAGAAAGCTTAGGCCAGGTAGGCCTTCGTGTGGCTTACCTTCCCAGTATCAGACAGACTGAGAAAGCTTAGGCCAAGTAGGCCTTCGTGTGGAATACCTTCCCAGTATCAGACAGACTGACTAAGCTTAGGCCAGGTAGGCCTTCGTGTGGAATACCTTCCCAGTATCAGTCAGACTGACAAAGCTTAGGCCAGGTAGGCCTTCTTGTGGCTTACCTTCCCAGTATCTCCTGGCGCCGGCTGCAAGGTAACTGAGGCAGGTGCGTTTGGTGGCAGCTGAAATGATACAGATTTGTAAAATATTCATTTAGGTAATTGAGAATAGCTGATACTGTGGAACACCTTAAACAAATGACTTAATCAAGATATGCATGTACATATCTGATCAAAACCACATTTAGACATTGACAGATCACAGGAAGGTGGGATTTAAATTCACCTGCTGTTCCTATTTTTGCATTTTATCTTCTTATTTTTCACATCTCGGTAAAAACCCACTCAAAGATTACAGAAAATATTTCTTTATGAAAATTGTATTTAAACTGACAACCTATCCCTATGCAAGTTTTTCAACAATTCACAGATTACCGCAAATTTGATATATAAGATTTTGATTAAATACATTTCATACACAATCAAAGAGATGTATCATTCATACACTTGATCTAAAACAGAAACCTAATGCAATGTGTAACTGTTGTTTATGATATTTAAATAGATATCTGACAAGAGTTATCTGATTTTCAAATTTCAAAAAGACATAAGGTTATGATCAAGTGTCTTTATGAAATTTTATGAGTAACAAGTGCTTGATAAATATGATAAAACAATAATAAGTAGAATTTCTGTCAACCATAAATCATAAAACACTGTTTTTCGTCATTTTACTGAACCAGAACAGAAAGGTTCCATTTTTGCTAGCCTCTCGTCTGCCATCCTGGATTTGCATATGACGAATGTAATTATTGACTACTGTAATTGTGATAGTCATATTTGAAGGTCAAAATACCAAATCAAAGGGTTTTCCAACAGCCAATAAAATTGCTTACCACGCACACCTTAAATGTGTTTTATATACAAACATTCCATGATTATTAACACATGGTCTGAGAGTTATGGTAGAAAAATAAGTAACTCCATAATCAAATTCTTAAGACACTGGTCTAAATTAGTTACATGCTAATCTCAATCTTTGGTATGTCAATCAAAAATTACTTCAAAAAAGAATGGATAGGCGTTTGGGCCAAGCTTCTTGATTAAGCGTTCCTGTAGCCTCGTTAGTGGTTTCTGTTGGTCCTTGACCGGTGGGTACACCTGCACGGAGGCGAGAAAAAGGTCCTTGCGGAAGGTCAAGCCCAACACATCCAGATCTTCCCGGCCGTAACGGAATGCGGCGAGGATGTGTGCAAACACCTTCCTTTCTTTGAGGTATTCAGGGTCCACCAGAATGACTCCATCTGCATTTGAATAAACATTTATAAAGGTTTTATCTATTGTCATATTCATTAAATGCTTTTGAAATGAATAACAGTGAATTGGTGAAAATACCAGTACATTCTGCCGTACAAGGGTACTCAGCTGGGAGTCATTACATTTTTGGTTTTATTACAGTTTTTATAGCCCAACTATGAAAAAGTTACTGCATCAAAAAAGTGCTTAGCACAAAATGTGTTGCCTGATTCTAATGTTGTCACATTGTATTTTGGATAGGCTACTAAACAAAGTTCTAACGTTTCCTGCTATTATCTAATAAGATTTCCTTACAAAAGTTATATAAATGGTGTAGTTAAGAAAATACTACATAGTAAAAGTGTATCAAAACAACCACTTAAACATTCGTCAGTCACTTCGTCTGTAGTTAAAAGAAAATATGTGCCTATGAATGAAGCAAATATAAAGAAATGTTCTGATTGGTCAAAGCTAAAAAGATATCTTTACATATGAAGATACAACATTCTGTATATTTTACAAAAGTGACGTTATAAGATTTATCATATTGACATGTTCCTGATAAAACCCGGTGAAAGTATAACAAGAGACCCATAGATCCTGTATTCCTCTCCTGGATATTCAAGCAGTCATACAAAAACTTTCTCATTAGAGGTAATAATTTCCACAGATGTATCCAAATCTTCCTCTTCTGCAATTCAGCAGCAATTGTATACATTGTAATAGGGTGGGGATCTTGCCTGCTTAAATTTGATGACCAAGAATTAATCACAACTGTCAGGGCCAGACCCCACCCGATTCTGAGAGCATGACTGTGCTCATCATGGCAATTGTAGGGTTGGCGTCTCAACAAATGCCATGTTATAACATAGGACTTAATTCCCAAAGGTGGAGTGAACCCTGAGGCCAATCCTGGTACTACATCTAGGTACTAAGTTTACAGGGGTTTGGCTAGAATCCAGGGACAATACTGGTAGCATTTGCATATCCAAATCGTCATGTTTTAAAATTATATATCATTATAGGGAGAGGATCTCAACAGTTTACATGTCATTACCCAGGGACTAAGTCCATAGGGATGGGTTAGACCCCAAAGTTAATCCCAATAACATATCTGACTAAGTCCATAGGGATGGGTTGGACCCCCAAGCTAATCCCAATAACATATCTGACTAAGTCCATAGGGATGGGTTAGACCCCCAAGCTAATCCCAATAACATATCTGACTAAGTCCATAGGGATGGGTTAGACCCCCAAGCTAATCCCAATAACATATCTGACTAAGTCCATAGGGATGGGTTAGACCCCCAAGCTAATCCCAATAACATATCTGACTAAGTCCATAGGGATGGGTTAGACCCCCAAGCTAATCCCAATAACATATCTGACTAAGTCCATAGGGATGGGTTAGACCCCCAAGCTAATCCCAATAACATATCTGACTAAGTCCATAGGGATGGGTTAGACCCCCAAGCTAATCCCAATAACATATCTGACTAAGTCCATAGGGATGGGTTAGACCCCCAAGCTAATCCCAATAACATATCTGACTAAGTCCATAGGGATGGGTTAGACCCCCAAGCTAATCCCAATAACATATCTGACTAAGTCCATAGGGATGGGTTAGACCCCCAAGCTAATCCCAATAACATATCTGACTAAGTCCATAGGGATGGGTTAGACCCCCAAGCTAATCCCAATAACATATCTGACTAAGTCCATAGGGATGGGTTAGACCCCCAAGCTAATCCCAATAACATATCTGACTAAGTCCATAGGGATGGGTTAGACCCCCAAGCTAATCCCAATAACATATCTGACTAAGTCCATAGGGATGGGTTAGACCCCCAAGCTAATCCCAATAACATATCTGACTAAGTCCATAGGGATGGGTTAGACCCCCAAGCTAATCCCAATAACATATCTGACTAAGTCCATAGGGATGGGTTAGACCCCCAAGCTAATCCCAATAACATATCTGACTAGACCCCCAAGCTAATCCCAATAACATATCTGACTAGACCCCCAAGCTAATCCCAATAACATATCTGACTAGACCCCCAAGCTAATCCCAATAACATATCTGACTAGACCCCCAAGCTAATCCCAATAACATATCTGACTAGACCCCCAAGCTAATCCCAATAACATATCTGACTAGACCCCCAAGCTAATCCCAATAACATATCTGACTAGACCCCCAAGCTAATCCCAATAACATATCTGACTAGACCCCCAAGCTAATCCCAATAACATATCTGACTAGACCCCCAAGCTAATCCCAATAACATATCTGACTAGACCCCCAAGCTAATCCCAATAACATATCTGACTAGACCCCCAAGCTAATCCCAATAACATATCTGACTAGACCCCCAAGCTAATCCCAATAACATATCTGACTAGACCCCCAAGCTAATCCCAATAACATATCTGACTAGACCCCCAAGCTAATCCCAATAACATATCTGACTAGACCCCCAAGCTAATCCCAATAACATATCTGACTAGACCCCCAAGCTAATCCCAATAACATATCTGACTAGACCCCCAAGCTAATCCCAATAACATATCTGACTAGACCCCCAAGCTAATCCCAATAACATATCTGACTAGACCCCCAAGCTAATCCCAATAACATATCTGACTAGACCCCCAAGCTAATCCCAATAACATATCTGACTAGACCCCCAAGCTAATCCCAATAACATATCTGACTAGACCCCCAAGCTAATCCCAATAACATATCTGACTAGACCCCCAAGCTAATCCCAATAACATATCTGACTAGACCCCCAAGCTAATCCCAATAACATATCTGACTAGACCCCCAAGCTAATCCCAATAACATATCTGACTAGACCCCCAAGCTAATCCCAATAACATATCTGACTAGACCCCCAAGCTAATCCCAATAACATATCTGACTAGACCCCCAAGCTAATCCCAATAACATATCTGACTAGACCCCCAAGCTAATCCCAATAACATATCTGACTAGACCCCCAAGCTAATCCCAATAACATATCTGACTAGACCCCCAAGCTAATCCCAATAACATATCTGACTAGACCCCCAAGCTAATCCCAATAACATATCTGACTAGACCCCCAAGCTAATCCCAATAACATATCTGACTAGACCCCCAAGCTAATCCCAATAACATATCTGACTAGACCCCCAAGCTAATCCCAATAACATATCTGACTAGACCCCCAAGCTAATCCCAATAACATATCTGACTAGACCCCCAAGCTAATCCCAATAACATATCTGACTAGACCCCCCAAGCTAATCCCAATAACATATCTGACTAGACCCCCAAGCTAATCCCAATAACATATCTGTATCTATTGATGTTTTCATGGCAAACAACTGTATACACATGGTTATTGGGCTGTGATCTCTACCATTTCTAGGTTGTGACCCAGATTTTTTAGCATGTTTATATTTGTTTCTTTGTGCCCTGTAACTATATGACTATGGAGTGGAAATCTCAATGATTTCTATATTAGTTAAGACGACCCTGAGTGCTACCTTGACAGCATACCTGTGTTTATATCTGTAGTTGTGTTTTAATACCTAACATTTGTAGATGACCTTGAGTACACTTGACCTTGAGATACTTACCTACTGGGTCTATGTGAGTCAGGTGGTCTATGAAATCTCTCTTTCCGAGGTAGGCTGTTATCTGCATTAAAAATGATATATAGTATACATTATCAACTTAGCAAAACCAGCAAGGCAATAGGGTACTGATTGCATATTAGAATCAGAAATGAATGCTTCCATTAATATCCCCCTGGTGTGCTAAAACATCTATTAACATACGACACAAATTGCTAAATTGTTGCACAGAATATCAAATGCCAACAGCAGAATGGATGATTGCAGCTCAAACAAAAGCCTTGATATAGCTCCTAGAAGAGAAAACCAATTATTGAAGTTGTACACCTCCCCATTATATATCTCTCTTCATCACTAGTCCCTACACTCTAATTTCCAACACAGCACAGAATAACAAATTTCAGAGAATTGCTAAAAACATTAATTAACAGTCCTAAATATCAGTTTGTAGGAAGCAAATTTCCAAATTATCCATGTCTAGATACGTTGTGGTTGCCACCCATCAGTCCTAACTGCGGAAAACTAGTTTTACAGGATGTAAAAACCTTCTAAGCTAGAACACATACAGGGGGAGTTAAGCTGTTAAAGTCGAGAAACAGCCAGACAACTTTATAAAGGGGAAACTAGAGCTATAAAAGTAGGAAGCCAGGCCGCATAAAACAGGAAATAAACCTGTAAAAGTCAAGGCCAGGCTGTATAAAGGAGTAATATAGCTGTAAAAGTAGGAAGCCAGACTGTATAAAGGGGTAATATAGCTGTAAAAGTAGGAAGTCAGACTGTATAAAGGGGGAAATAAAGTTGAAAAAGTAAGAGGTCAGGGTGTATAAAGGGGGAAATTAAGTTGTTAAAGTTAGAGGCCTGGCTGTATAAAGGGGGAAATTAAGTTGTTAAAGTTAGAGGCGTGACTGTATAAAGGGGAAAATGAAGCTGTTAAAGTTAGAGGCCTGGCTGTATAAAGGGGGAAATAAAGCTGTGAAGGTTGACTGTATAAAGGGGGAAATAAAGCTGTTAAAGTTAGAGTCCTGACTTCAGAAAAGGGGAAATATAGCTGTAAAAGTAGGAGGCCAGGCTGTTTAAAGGGGGAAATAAAGCTGTAAAGGTTGGAGGCTGTATAAAGGGGAAATTAAACAGTAAATTTAGGAGGCCAAGCTGTGTGTGGGGGGTAATGGAGCTATATCAGAGTGGTTGGAGACACAAGTTAAAGTGATTGATCACAGTTGTAGGTGTGCTGATCACGGCAGTATAAGACTTATTACTGTGCATGTTCCTGTGAATTATTTGTACAATTATGCAAATATTTATCAACTACACTTGTAATGATAAATAACTTTGATAAGCTGTTGTTTTATGTCATGTATCCAGTGTATGTCTTATGAAGTGGACTTTTTTAATGGCAATGCAAATGTTCTTCATTTTATGAAATGCATTTATGATCTGAGTTGTGATAGACAGAGTCTACATCAGAGAAAACTTCCAATGTGTCACATTCAATATTTAATCTATGATTGTTAAAAACATTTTGTGAAAACATCAAGAGATATGATCATAAAACTTCCATACAACTATGTAGATGATTGGATTGAATAAATCACATATCACCGGAAAAAAATCATGATTTAACAAATTTTATAAAACTATTTCTCCGAGTATTGCTTATTGATGTAAATTAAATTTAGATATTGTTGTTTTAGTAATTATTTTTTTCTTCAACTTTTGAATAATAAATTTAGTTACCAGTCACACCATTATAAGCTGAATATGGATACAGTAATATCTTCNGGGGGGGAAATCTTCATGTTTCCCCCATGGAATAAATATGTAAGTGGTATATTATCATTAATACAAAATGTAGAGTAACTCACCTTTCCATTGGGGCTGCTCTTTTTAAACACCCTAAATAAAAAAGAAAACAATAACATTAAATTTGGTAGAATAAAACAAATAGCAGAAATTTTCAGAGGTAAAAATTTGGAATATTTACAATATTGCGAAAAAAGAAACAATTTAGCAACAGTAAAATTAACATATTTACAAAGGGAAAACAAAGACATATTTACAATACGTGTGGTAGAAAGAAATATACATAAATCATATTTTCAAATGAAAAGCATTCATCACCAGCACCTGTTTCAAATCCCGGTACACTGTGACATTTAGAGAAATAAACAAATTGACTGACGGTATGGTACATTAAAGGCCGGGAGGAGAGTACAAACTTATCAACTAATTAACTAAATATACCTTAATTTGTACAACTAAAAATAAAATAAATGAAACATACTAATTAAATTTTACAAATATCGTTATTGCAACTATAGTCAATGTCAAGATGAGACTTTATTATAAATTGTTAATCCTAACTTTTAGTTTCTCAAACAATATTTTTCCTGGATAGGTTTACCTTCTACCAAAACTATAATTGGAAACTGAAATATTTCAGATATTTTCAAAAGTATAAAAAGCAAAATTAAATACTTTAATTTTAGTTAAATTTTACTTTAAGACAATGGTTTTGCATTAAATATCTCATCACTTTCTTCAAGATACAGATAGTTTGTAAATGAACACAAATATACAAAAATGACCAAATAAATTTAAATGTCTACAGCAGCAAAATATTAACAAAAGTCCTAAGATTTTTGCAACAAATATGAGTGAGGATATAGAGTTGTGTAGAATATATAACTCTCAATCTGGTGCGTTTATTGGAGTACAACAACACAATACACAGGTGCAGATAACATACAAATCTCATTACTGTTACATTCCCCCAGAATATCTGAAGTATTCACCAAGACTAAAGGATTTACTTAAAGTCTAGTTAATACATCCGTCACAGTTTAAGTGCTGGACTGTACTGGAGTATTTATCCAACAATCACGAATAGAAACAATGGACATTCTGTATGATAAAACATCGGCTCGACAATGGAACACCCCGATTATTAGTGTCTGGATTAACACTGCTCCACTGTAAATAGACTTGTTATTGCATAAAACAGGACTTCCTCAAACAAAGGTAGTGACCTATTCACAGTGAGAGCATCCTTGACCTTTGACCAACTGACCTCAAAAGCAATTCTGAGAAATTGAGAAAACTATCTGTCTGATGATCCACGGATATGTGATATTGATTACTGGATTACTCTCGTCTCAGGAGAAAGCTACATCTCAGGAAAAAGTTACAGTACAGAATGTTGAGGTGATGGACAGATAGTTAAAATAACAATATCTCCATCAACATATCCCTAAGGGACAGATACCCAGAATTCAGACATTTAGATCCAGTACTTAAGTGATGCTGGCATTTCAAAAGAAACCATCAGTATGAAATATCCGGCAAAATCCAGAGCCAGCAAACGTTTCTGTGAAATTGTTTCTTGTTTTCTATTGATACTCATTACAAGTACTTTATAATACAGGAAATCCAGATCCTGATATCAGATAAAACTACTTCCACGGCCTGAGACTGGGATAAAAGTATATAAACACCAGTGGCCTTACACAGTGTTACTGCAATGACTGGATTTTAAACACAACAGCCTGATGAACCCTCACAAGGTTATTAATACAGGCCATGGAAATGTTTTCTCATGTTTCCTCAGAAAACAATATCCACTAGGTTCATCCTTATTATCATAAGTTATTAACTCTAATCCAAATGTTTTAAATGCTTTTCGAAATGCTTATTACGAACACTTTCGAGCTACAGCCCTCCTCAGAGGATCACACCTACCTGACCACAGTTTGACAGTTTGAAAACAAACATCAAAGCTGTTACTCGAGAATCTGATTTGCATACCAATAATATTTTTCTTGGATAAAAATAGTAAATTTTAACAAGAGGCCCAATGGGCCTGCATCGCTCACCTGGTATAAAACTCACAATTGTAACCTTAAAAGTGATCTAAAATAAAGCTACAGGCAAAATATCAGTATTTATGATTAAAATTCGTTCAAAAGACCCTGTTATTTTTTTTTTAAACATTTCACCCCTGTGATTGAAAGTCGAACAAAGTCATTATGTTGAACACATTGTATAGGCTTTCATCTCAGGATGCAACTTGCAAAGTATAAACATCCTGGGACCCATGGTTATTCATAAGAGGTTGTTTAAA